AAGACAGGCATGTGGGCTCTGCACAGCCTCACTGGCCAGCCTTCAGGCTTTGCAGTGAGGGGGCCTTTGATAGGCGAGCTAAGCCCACCTTCCTGTATGCCCTCTGCAGACCTGTGGGGGAGAACCTCACTCACTAATCTCTGCCTCTCTCCTGTAGGAAGGGGCTTTGGCGCCAAAGACCCAGGCAGAGGTGCTCACACGCCTGAATCTAGGTTACTACTGTCCCAGGGTTTCATCACAGGCCTAAGCCCTCCTCAGCTTCCCACTGTGGTAGGTTTAAGGACTAGGCTGGTACCACTTCCGTTAAACCTGCCCCCTGCCACTGGTTTCCTACCACTTGCTTTCTTTCCTGTCCAGTCTGTGAACCAACATCACTATCTGCAAGCATAGCCTGGCATTCTGCTTTCTTTTGTCCTGTTCTTCTGTCCCAGAATCCCTCTGGGCATCAGGACTTTGCTCAACAGGCTCCCACTTTCCTCTCCACTCATGGATAGCCCCTCCCCTCAAGTCTGCTTGGTTTCCTCCTGTATGGCCAGGTTGGACAATCATACAATCCCCTTCAAGTCTTCCCACTATCAGACTGGTTTAGAATATCAGTTCAAACCTTTCTGCTCACACCACCGGCAAGCTGGCAAGTCAACTGCGGCCCGTGTGCCTGGTTCCTGCTTCTCACCGACAACTTGTAAGAAACAGAGAGAACGCTGTCCACTGCATCCTGAAGGACATCGTTCTAACAGGATTGAGATTCTAGACAGCCCTGGGTTGAGAACTGCGCAGAGGAACTCTCTTGTGGTTCCCTGGGGCTTCGAAGCAGATGCTTTTCAGAAGTTGGAAGTGCCCCAGCATGGGATCTGACTTGCACACCCATTTCAAGGGAAACTAAGCTGAAGAAACTAAGGGGGGGGGGCTAAAACAAACATAGCTTATTCAAAAGTCAAGAGAATTGATTCTTAGGTGATTATTCTTCCCACCCTCCCGCCCTTCTCAGATGGGGGAGGATGACTTGGGACATGACCAGGGACAGCACCGTTGGTTGCTGGAGGCAGCCCAAGGGAGACCATTTTAATTATGAACATGCACAGTGGGAGAAAGAAAACACCCACACATACACACACTTACACACTCATGCATGCACACCCACACATGGGTGGGGGAGCGGGAAGGAAAGACCACAAGACGGCAGGAGAGAGAATTTTGAGTGAATTCATAGAACAGAGAGGAAATCAGCCTCTTGGCTCCCCAAGTTTTAATGACACAGCTCACCATTGGCCCTTATATCCCACCCAGTGTCTAATAGCTTCCATTAACATTTTCTGAACACTTAAGTAAGTTCATCTTTTCCTGTCCTTGTCATGAGAGGAGGAGCCATTTTCTATACAGTCTTTGGTACTAAAGCCACCACTGTTCTCCAAGCAGACAAACAGAAAATCCTAGGCTTTTCTTCCTTGCCTTATCTGCCCTATACTGAGGGGACTGTTATCTGAGGTTCACAGGGGACCCCACGAGTCCTTTCTCCTCCCAGCCTCATCCCTCAGCCACACTTATGAGAATGTCTCTGAGGCAGCATGTTGTTTCTGAAGAAAAGAGCCCTACAAAACTGGACACGGCCATACTGACACCCTCCAGGGCCGCCTGTCCCCCAGTGTAAGTCATTACCTTCCATTCTCTCAGACACCTGCCTCATTTTGGCTTTATTATGTTATTATTTAACTCCATAGTAACTGACGTCGGTCAAGGCGATCCCTCGTGCATCATTCCCTTTCCTTCGTTGGTTGGAAAGAGTATCTCAAACGCTGTGTTGTCCTATTGTGTCCTGCTTGTCTGCTGGGGCGCCTGGGCACAGCTGGCGTGCCACTCAGAGGAGGCAGAACAAATTCTGAATGGTGGTCCACAGGCCATGTTTTCCCAGAAGGAGAAACAGCAGAATCTGGGCTGAATGCCGTGGTTCTTGGTCTTCTGTGTACCAGGTGCCACCTGTGAACCGCTAGGAGTCAGGAACCAGGGTCCTAGTCCACAGGAAGGGAAAGCATGGAGCCCTGCATGGGCTGAACTCAGTCTGATTTACAGTGGGTGCAGAGAGAATATGGAGGGGTTGGAAGAGAAAAGGCTCTCTCTTGGAGATTTAGGCATGACTCTTTACGATGAAGGCTTCCCCTGCAGCAATCCTTGAAGAAGAGACAATCCTTGCTTGTTCAGACTGCTTTATTTAAGGGAGGATGTGAAGGCATACACTTTATTTGTTGTGAACCATGGATTAAATACCTTTTAGTTAGGAAGGAATGTCTAGGAAGGGAAGCTCATTGGCTGAACACTCGGGGGCTATCTAGGTACCTCATTAGCATGGAGAACTCCAGGTGTGGATGCTATGAAACCCAGTGTCCACAGTCTTCTCTGTGGGGTGTCAGTGGTTATGTGTTCTAGAGCAAGTAGAGGTAGGCAGGAAACGGCTCCACTCCTGGATCCACTCAATTCTGAGATCCTGGAGTTTGAGCTCATTCAACCTTTTCATTTCTCCTGCTTGTCAGTTACAAGGTCTCACATGGCCTACATACACTGTGGAAAGCCTCCCGGGATGTCATCTTTACTCACTTGCTCCCACCATAATGAGAAACGGTAAGATCAACAGGTTCATGTTTGAATGGGAGCTTTTCTGGCTTCAGGCACCAACTTTATCCCAGAAGCGTCTGCACTGTCTGTCAGGAAAGGAACCAATCCTAGAATCCTAGACTTCCTCCCCAAACAGCAGCCTCCATCTTAACGATCAGAATGTAATCAAGTCAGCAGCCTCCATCTTAACGATCAGAATGTAATCAAGTCAGCTTGTCAGCATTACCTGTGTCCTGTTCCATCATCAGACCCAACAATCCCACAGACCCTCCCATTAACTCTGGATGGTCTTTCACAGGCCTCCCTTCTCTGTGCTGAAAAGGCATCTCCAACTGCCGCACTCAGCCTCGTCGTCTGTAGACCTGCTTGGCAGAATCAAGTCCTCCAGGACCCTACAGTCCACTTAGTCCCGCTAGTCTCTAAAACACTGCTACCTGCCTGTATGGTTCCTAAATTGACTGGACTCCCCCAAAGGTGGGGACCTGCCCTTGTCCCCTGAATAAAACATTCATTGTCCCCAAACAGGGCCTGAAGCCAGGCCACGCTCACACATGGTTCTGGAGGCTTGGGGGAAATTTGATTTGAAATACTAGAGTCACTCTCCCCACCATTTTATCTTTGAATGATTCGATAGATAATGCCTTAGCACAGCAACGAACAGTGGGCACCCTCAATATCCTCTAGGGGGAGCCTTCTGCCTTGAACAGAGGGCACAATCCACACCAGCTTTCGACTCTATTCATCTGCCCCATCAGCTCCCACACTGCCCTATCTCATTTGCCTTGGGATCCCATGACAGACAGTTCCTGATCCTCTCTGGTTTTCAACACTCCGATGCAGACATGGAAGTCCCAGTAGTGTTGGTCACTGGCAAGGGTTTGAAAAACCAAACAACAACCATAATTTAGAAATTTAGAAAATTTGTTTGTTTTTATTTTTATGGAGAGCTCCAGAAGGCAGCTGCTTACTTCTCTTCCCTGAACAGCACAGCAAAACAGATCAGGGTGTGTGGCTCCTTCAAGTTCCCAAAGTACTTCAGGGATGAGTATTCTTCAGACTGCAGGGGGCATCGCTACTCTATCACGGTCAGGCTTGTCTGTCAGAAGATCCCAGTTTGGATCCTGAGAGGAGTCCACATGGGGTTCAACCTCTCAGGCACCAAGAACAGGCTCCAGGGCCAGAGGCAAAACTCTGCACTGAAGGCCTCATGTGTTACTCACTGAAGTGGCCAGGTGTCTCAGTTGAAGACCAGAAGGGAGGCAGGGCAAACTATCTGGGTTGCTAAAAAGATGGCTTTTTAAAGTACTAGATCTGCAGTTTATAACAGTACATGAAAACATTATGAGGGACTCAAATCTGAACAGGCAGAAACACAGGCTGGACTAAACTAACAGAACCAGATCTTTATTCACAGTTAGAAAGGTCCTAATCTAAAATTCAAAAACTGAAATCCACTGGGGTCTTTTAAGAATGAAAATTCTTAAATCTGTCAGACCAGCTGACAGGGCAAATGAGGGAAAAATTCCCCCATTAAGACAGCAACAACAACAACAATAACAACACAAAACACAATTCAGTCTCCCTCCACTCCCAACTCCCCTGCCACCTCCCAACCCTATAAAACACACAGTTAAAGCCAGGCATACTTGCACACATTCAAATTACAAAGTACCAAACACCCAAGGAGACCTTAGGATTCATTTAGGGTTCCTCATGAGCTCCCCAATGCTCTTCTCTGTTCTTCTAGATGAGAAGAGATAAGCCAGAGCTGGATATGCCTGGCTTCTCAGCATCAGTCTAGAAGACTGAACCACAACCAGGCAGAAAGAGCAGCTGAGGTGAAGCACCGCCAGGCACTCTGGACAGCTGGCTGTGAATCTGGACACTGTGACACAGTCCAGCATCGCACCTGACATAAAATTAGCCTATGAAGAATTAGGAAGGAGTTTTAGGGGACTTTTTTTTTTGAGAATGGTGTCTATTTAGGATTTTTGGCTCTGAGAGCTGTGGATCATTGACTCAAATCTATTGTCTGGACTAATGTCTCATACATTTGCTGGAGAATAAGTTACTTCTAACTGGTTAGCCTGTCACCAGCGGTCTTCCTTGGAAAAGCCAAGCTGGGAAATTCAAGCAACTCAGGTGGTCCAACCCACGTGTCTACACTGATATCCCCCAGTATGCAATGACAGTCTGAGACAACTGTTTTTCTGCTTCACTCTACAGAGAATAGTTTTTCCCACATTTGTAAAATAAATAATTCAGAATATAATGAAATTCCAAGGACAATTATGAGGCTGAAATGTGTTCTGCCTCTCACAGTGACTTATTAAACTCATCAACAGTGACTTATTAAACGCATACCTGCAGCTCATCCCCAGGTGAAAGGGCGACACATAACATGTGAGGTTCTGGGTCACCCCATCCCTCACAACCTGTATATATTACAGTTTTCTTTATAAATAGATATATTGGACTTAAGCCACAATACAAATGCCAAAGGTTGAGATCTTTCCCCCATAAATATCATAGCCACATGGCACTAGACATTTTAATGAAAGTTCTAGCTGCCATGATGGTCAAGAGCTGTGTCTCAGCCCAAACCAGTTACTTACTCCATTGGATAATAACCACTGAGCCATCTCCCCAGCTCCCACTCCACTGGATAATAAAGCCAAGAATAAAACGTTCACTTTGTAACAAGCTCATGACAGAGCTCCTTTGAATAAAAGCCCAATTAATGGTTTGGTTCCCCAGCCCCAGACACTTGTTACATAGAACAGTTTTCAAGGTCACATCAAACAGACGAATAAATGTAGTCTCGATGGCTTAATGGTTTCAGGGTCGAATCTGCCACATAAAATGGACTACTCAGATTAATAAACAAGATCCACTGCCTTGTCTGTGTTGACTGCCCACTTACTGATGTGACAGCTCAGGGTGTCATTTCTTGGATGAGAATATGAACCCTGTTGTCACATCAGTGTGGCTAACAGTGTTCTATGGCCAGTGAGCAGAACTGGGCATTTGGACTGAGGTTTAACAGCCATCCCAGGAATGGTTTCCTAGGGAATTTGGTTTTCAATTTCTCCGTTCTTCACTATTTGAATTATATAATTTTGATGAATCACATCAAACCACCTGATTAGATGACTGCCATCTCTAAAAAACAAAACAAAAAACAAAAACAACAACAAAAAACAAAAAACAAAACCAAAACTGGCACAAACAGATGAGTAGCCCTTTAGAAAACCCAGACAGTGATGAACCATGTGGACCACACAGCCAGGAAGCTCTCAGAGTTCATCCCTTGAAGGCACGGTATCCAGAGAAGTTGGCGGTGGTAGTGCTTCTGTGTTCTTGGCATTGCTGTGGATGTGTCCTTGTTTCCGGGACTTCCAGGAGTGTGTCCTGTCCCAGTCAGTGGCCACTGTCTCATTGTCCCAGATGGTTGACGTTTCTGTGTCGCTCAGATAGCCTGGTTGGCCTGTGTAGTGCGTGGGGTAGATGAGCAGAGGTTCTGCAGAGAAGGCTTTCAAGTCCCTGGACTCATAATACTCCTTGTACTCGGCCCTGTAAAACAGAGGTGCACATCCACATGAGAGGCAGAAGTCTCAGGGAACAGGGAAGGCAGAGAGCCCTGCTTGTCATCTCTGAAACCTCCTGGGTTCATTTCTTGCTTTTGTGCATTGATTGTGGGGAACCTTAGACTACAAACATAAAAAGGATTTTTTTGCTTCTGGTCTGGGCCTGAGCACTGAGCAGATCCTGGGCGGCTGCTCTGCACCCAATCTCACAAAACCCAGAGGAAGTGGGCCTCCTAGGAGCTCTAACCTGGGCAGCATCTTAGGTAAGGAGACAGCAACACCCACCCCAAACAGGGAGTAACTGGGACCCACTAGGACCCAGGAATTCACTCCTGGCCCGGAGCACTGGTTCCTTCTGGTCAAGGCCATTGAGCAGATCTTGGGCCCCAGCTCTAACCCCAGTAGTAACACCCACCCCACACAGTTCTGAAACAACCAAGATAATAGGAAAGACAGGCTCCAGTCAGAGATAGCGCAGGTAGCACTAAGGAGATCCAGATGGCAAAAGGCAAATGCAAGGACATAAGCATCCACAACCCAGGGTACTTAGCATCATTAGAACTTAGTTCTCCCACACTAGAAAGTCCCGAATTCCCCAAATCACCAGGAACGCAAGATTCAGATTTTAAACCACTTCTAATGATGATGATAGAGGACTTTAAGAAGGACATAAATAACACTCTCAAAGAATTTGAGGAGAACACAGTTAAACAGGTAGAAGCCCTTAAAGAGGAAACACAAAAATCCCTTAAAGAATTACAAGAGAACATAACCAAACAGGTGAAGGAATTGAACAAATTCATCCAGGACGTAAAAATGGAAGTAGAAACAGTAAAAAAATCACAAAGGGAGACTACCCTGGAGATAGAAAACCTAGGAAAAAAATCAGGAGTCATAGATGCAAACATCACCAACAGAGTACCAGAGATAGAAGAGAGAATCTCAGGTACAGAAGATACCATAGAATATATTGACATAACTGTTAAAGAAAATACAAAATGCAAAAAGTTCTTAACACAAAACATCCAGGAAATCCAGGACACAATGAGAAGACCAAACCTAAGGATAATAGGTATAGATGAGAGTGAAGATTCCCAACTTAAAGGGCCAATAAATATCTTCAACAAAATTATAGAAGAAAACTTCCCTAACTTAAAGAATGAGAAGCCCATAAACATACAAGAAGCATACAGAATGCCAAATAGACTAGACCAGAAAAGAAATGCCTCCCGTCACATAATAATCAAAACACCAAATGCACAAAACAAATAATATTAAAAGCAGTAAGGGAAAAAGGCCAAGTAACATATAAAGGCAGACCTATAAGAATTACACCAGACTTCTCACCAGATACTATAAAAGCGAGAAGATCCTGGACAGATGTCATACAGACCCTAAGAGAACACAAATGCTAGTCCAGGCTACTATACCCAGCATAACTCTCAATTACCATAGATGGAGAAACCAAGATATTCCATGACTAAACCAAATTTACACAATATCTTTCCACAAACCCAGCATTACAAAGGATATTAGAGAGAAAGCTCCAATACAAGAAGAGAAATTATACCCTAGGAAGAGCAAGAAAGTAATCCTCTTCCAACAAATCCAAAGAAAATAGCCACACAAAGATAATTCCACCTCTAATAACAAAAATAACAGGAAGCAACAATCATTGTTCCTTAATATCTCTTAACATCAATGGACTCAATTGCCCAATAAAAAGACATACGCTAATGGACTGGATATGTAAATAGGACCCAGCATTTTGCTGCATACAGGAAACTCACCTCAGTGACAAAGATGGACACTACCTTAGAGTAAAAGGCTGGAAAACAAATTTTCAAGCAAATGGTCTAAAGAAACAAGCTGGAGTAGCCATTCTAAAACCTACAGCCCGAGAACACAAAGGGAGAAACTCATGGCTCCACCTGTATAGGTAGTTGAGGGTGGCCTTGTCAGGCATCAGTGGAAGTAGAGGGCCTTGGTGCCTGATAGTTTGGATTCTCTAGTACTGGGGAATTTGAGAGCAGGGAGGCGGGAATGGGAGGATGGTGGGAGCACACCCTCATAGAAACTCCCAGAATTATATGGATTAGATATGATAGAGACATGACACCAGAAGACTAGATTCCAGAATTCAAACAAAAAAGATCTTGGTACTAAAATTTGTCTAGAGAATTGTATACTGCAGAATACACAACCTTGGTGTATCTACTCATCAAGCAAGCTGAGCAGACCTGCTCAAACCTCTGATGTCCTAGAATCTCAGCTGGATGCAGTGAAGGCATAGACGTCAGAGGCTTATCAATTTACTCTTCCCCCCACCCCTCTTCTAATATCTCAACGCCTGTAATCAGCTTGAAGAAGTTAGTGAAGAGTCGGTGCCTCTATTTCCTGGGCTTGGGGACTGAGGTGGTTAATATTGGGCTGTCTTTCTAGGGAAAAGTAGTGGTTTTATTGGAACAGAGAGGAATAGCTAGGATTTATTGCATAGCCATAACCTATTGGTAGAAAGCTGTATAATTGTTATTAAGCTGAAGTTATAATTTCTCAAATGGTACAAAATTTACTTTGATTTCAAATTTAAGGTTTTCATTGGTACGAGTTTCTTATTGATATAGAAGTAAGATTAATATTGTTACTTTCATAGGCATTGTGCCTATATAACACATTTAGGAATATAAGGCTTAGACCCAGTCCTTATTTAACTTTTTAAACTGATTTGAGATGGTTAGCCTGTGAGTTAAGGGCCTATAGCAAATTCATGGCTCTGAGTTTATTGTTAGGGTGTTTTCTACATTTTGTTTAGAAATAGCTGAGAGGAGTTAACAGACAACAGTCCAGATTGCCTTACATTGATAGTTGGTTTTCAAAATGTCAGTAGTCCACAGAATTGACATTACAAACATTTCTGTATTAATGTTCATTTTGATTAGAGACCTGTCTGCTCCTGACAGCTTCCTGTCTTGGATTCTAAGAAGAAATTGAGCATCTTTGGAGTTACTCCAGTTGTGGTGAGACAGCCACTAGGCAAGAACTGAATCTTTTCATCTACAGACAAAGTACTGTCCTGAAAAGGACACACTTGTGGAATAGTCAACTGATTATATCTGCCAAGACAGAGTAATCAGCCCTTAATAATTCTGCATCACTAGGTCTGTCAGATGATCCTGGGCCAGAAGGCTGAAGATTGGATGCTCCAACGTTTTGTAGTATAGGGACTGTCCAGGTGTTCAGTGGTCTCTATAAATTGGCTAAGTTTTAGAAGCTATGTTTTGTGCTTCCCACAATTTCAGTTAATTCAGTCATTCTGGATTTCTGACAAGGTTGAAGACTTATAGTCTCATAGCCAATTTCAGCTATTTACTTTGAGAGAAAAGATTTGAATGGATGGTTTTCAGCTGACATTCATTCTAAAGCCAAGAAAAAAGCCAGGTTCAGAACTATGTCTTTTACTTAGGAGAGATGACAGAGGTTCTGGTTAGTTAACAAAATGATAGACTGGGTATTAGGTCTATCTTGAACCTTACTGATATAAATTAATATAGTTATGCTCTAATTGTATTTTGAGAGAAAAGTTTTATCTTAACAGGAAGGGTGATATGTAGGAGGAGCTAAGGTGGGAGGAGTAAGGAGAAGAGGAGAAAGAGAGGAGGAGCTAGGAGATGAGAGAGAAAGGGGGGGGCGGAACATGGAGGTGGATGTCTGCGTGTCTCCGCCAGTCAAAGATAGTTGGTATATCTAGGTTGGGTATTGGGTTACACTTCTGATTGTATGGGCATCTTGTTATTGAGCATTACCAAACTTATAAAGCCTTTGATTAACATTTGAAAAAAAAGTTACTAATAAAAAAAAAAATAAAAAAAGTAAGATGAAATACCCCCCACCCCCTCCCCCCCAAAAAAAGATTTCTTTAAAGTGTTCAGAAGATCTGTACAGACAAGCGAAAGGGCCAGGCTCAACCTGTTGTTGTTAGGTAGAACAGTTTAGTGAATGAGTTTCAAGTTTTACTCTGGAAGGTAAAAATTCAACTCTGTTGGACTCACAGCAATAAATCAACATGATCAATTCCCAATCAGTGTTCCATTCCTGTTTCTAGTGGTAAAGAAATGAAGACATCTGAGACCTGGATAGCAGCAAGGGACATAGGGTAAGGGACATGGAGAAGGTTTGGAGGCATGCTAGCTGGCCAGTTCTTGCTTGCTGCCCTGGCTCTATGCAGTTGTAAAGCTAGAGGGACATCTTTGCTTTCCTCCAAGGGTTCCTTGAAGTTGGAAGGTACCTATACAGTATTTTTGTCCATTGGAGAAATAAGTACTAAGTAAGTACTATTTTCCTTCCTGTTTCAGGAGATAGTGGTTCCACTCTATGTTTCTATCAGGATACAGAGGTGGAGCTTGTTGCATAAAAGATGGCACAGAGCTCCAGTTTTACTGGTGACAAGATAAAATGAACAAGCTGTATTGTGGGAACCTCAACAGCTAAAACAAAAGGTCAGAGACGGAGATCACTTAGCAACTGAGAGAAGGAATCAAGGTTAAAACCTGGCCTCTTGCTACACTCATGAGTTTAGGAAACACTGGTTGAGCAGCTGTTACTGTACTCTAAGGACCCAGAGGTGTGTGGCTATTCCTGCCTCCAAGGGCTCATAGCCTACTCTGAGGATTAACAGGTAGCCATCATTTACCAGACCTTTGATAAGAGTCAGGTCAGTCAGCTGGGCCTTTGGGATTTGAGCACTGTGTTCCTTCTTCCTTTGATATCAGGCTCAGAAGGCATCTCCACATCCCTTGAATTTCTTGCCACCTCCATGACTATGTGTGTCATGATACATCATGATGATTTGTTCATGGGTCCACGTTATCTCTCAGAGGGTGAGCACTGAGAGGTCGTGTACACTACTACCTAGTGGTACACACGTAGTGAGCAGAGTGAACCTAGAATAAATCTAGGATGGCTTAAAAAAGATGACCTTTAGCTTCAGGTATGTGAAGTTACAAAGTCAGAAGAACATACACAAGTAGATTCCAAGCAGACCATTGTCCTGTGCACTGAGTCATGAAGAGGATATTAGACAAGACAGTCACCTCCTCTGTCTCATCCTGTCCGTTTAAAGGTCTACTCAACTTTTCCAGGTTATGGTTATAAACGGATTCTTTAGAAAAGCCATACTACTATAAAAACACCAACTTCTACCCAAGAGGCTTAATTTATGAACAGTATGTGTCTAAGGGACAGGTGGCCATGGCAGGAGACTTACACAGGATGCTTGTTATACATGATTGGCAGAAACTCATCCACTGGCAACATCTTCCCAAAAGGATCAGCTCCAACGAGCTTCTGTGCACCTTCTAGGGAGATGGCGTAGCCCAGCGTCCAGTAGGAATAATCGGCTTCGACGAGATTTACAACGTTGGGCACCGCCTTCTCTGGCTCTTTGACTTGCATTCTTTTTCGACCGATGTAACTGTAAGAAGATGGAAAGGGGAGAAAAGTTCCAACTCGAACATTAGAATATCGAGGACTAGAAGAATAGAGCACATATTTAGTTTTAAAAGCTGTCTTAAAGCCTGAATTCTCGTGTCTTTTCCTAATGTGTACCACCACAGAGATCATCCCATCAGTATCCATATTTGCTATTGGTTCTCATAAAGTCAGTTTCCCAACTCCATTTATCAGCACGCTAACTATTCAGGCCTAGTGGTCTGTCTTTAAGCCAGAAAGGGAAGATGCAGAGATGAAAGATTGTTTGGATGATTTCCCTGGGATGATATTTCCAGCTGTGTTTAAAGAGTTTGGAAAGGAACAAAAAAAGCCAGATGTGAGAATCTTGAGTTTGTTGTCTTCATGTCCCCAGAGCTTCTGCCTCAGATGCTTCCTGTACTACTTCCCATGTGCTGGCACTAAACAGCACAGAGAAGGCTGTGGGTGAGAAAGAGTCTGCGGCAGAGGATCTAGAGACCCAAGGGGAGTCCCAAAGGGTTCCTTCTGGGGAGTCTGAGTGACAATTCTGAAAGTCTTGCCCCTTTACACTCTGCTCATGTGCTGAAGAAGACTCTGAGGCCTGAAGAACAAGAACATATTCTGCTTTCAGCTCTTCTAGGGAACTCAAGCATATGTCCTCAGAGTTTGACTTTCTCGAGTGTAGTAGAGAAGAAACTTCTAGTGAGCACCTGAACTGTGGCTACAAGGACTGAGGAACCGACTTTATAATCTTACTAATTTAAATTCCAACTTAGGTGGTGCCATCTGACCCATCTCTAATACAACTCCTGCACATAAAGATCACAAGACATCAGGAAAGAAAGGGTGGAGAGATTGTAAGAGCCAGAGGAATGGCATATTTGCTATGAGACTGCATCTCCTAGGAATGTCAGGGAAGCTACACCATGAAGTTTCAACAACATGGCTGCCTAAACAAGACCTGAGTAAGTACAATACCAATAGACACAGAAGGAGGAAGTCTTATGTGGTTCAGCCTTAGATAAAGAGTGACAGCAAACTAAGGAATACTGAGAGCAGGAATCTCCCTAACCCTGGGAAGAACCCCCTGTCTTAGGGTTTTACTCCTGTGAATAGATACCATGACCAAGACAACTCTTATAAGGACCACATTTAATTGGGGCTGCTTACAGGTTCAGAATTTCAGTCCATTATCGTCAAGGTGGGAGCATGGCAGCATTTAGGCAGGGATGGTGCAGGAGGAAATAAGAGTCCTATATCTTCATCTGAAGGCTGTTAGTAGAATACTCACTTCCAGGCAGCTAAGACTAGGGTATTAAAGCCCACACCTACATTGACACATCTACTCCAACAAGGCCATACATCTCCTAATAGTGCCACTCCCTGGGTTGAGCCTTTACAAACCATAATACCCCCAATACCAAGTGGTCAGCCCTGAAATCATATATGTATCTGTAACATTTTATAGATTAAACAAGTTATACTTATGTATGTAGGATATATATTATATATATTATACATGTAGGTAATAACAGTAAAGAAAAAGAGGCCAGGGGCATGGATTTGAGAGAGAGCAAGGAGAGCTACGTGGGAGGGATTGGAGGGAGGAAAGGTAAGGAGAAATGACAAAAGTACATTATAATTTTAAAAACTTAAAAAAGAATTTTAAAAATAAATTTAAAATTTAATATTTTTAGCTATGTAAAATGCTTTTTTCCCCTGCAAAGCAAGATTATTATTTAGTAGAATTATAGTTTAACAGTTGACATTTTATTTTCTAGGTTTAATTATGTTCAGAGTGTAAGCATAAACAGGTTTTTGAAGATGGCACCCAAACCATAAACTATCCCATTCATGCTTTAAAATAGTATTTATATGCTAAAAAAGTAATACTTAGATATATTTGGCTAAATAAAAACATATTAAATAGAACTCATTTTATCTTATTTAATTTTTAACCTTTCAGTCCAGTCAGAAAATTTGAAATAACATATATGGATCACACTGTATTTTCTACTGAATAAAACTCCCCAGTTAAGTCCAGTGACTGTTTAGAGTGTCCTGATTTATTATTTAGGTTTTTCCTGGAAACAACACAGCTACTAATCATGGACAGATTATCTTCTGTATTTGGTTTGAGTAGCACTTCTTCATTAAAACAGTCAATGGTTCTTTCAAAGACAAATGAATCTGTGGCATTTTAGGATATTCTCTGACTCTTTCTATCCTTATCAGGACAGCTGTCCTTCCTTCTTGGATCTGGTGATGCTCTGTCCTGAGAATGCACCAACCATGCTACCCAAGAGTGGGCATGTATGCCGAGTCTCTGCTTTAGGTGTCCTGGATGGTGTTTTCTGTGATCATTGAGCATCAAAAATTGCCTTTGAGTGTGTCACATAAGCACATAGCTTCCAATCTGTGTGGGCATGATGTTCTACCATAGGCTATGTGGCCACAGATTCAGAAGGTCTGAAGAGCAGTGACTTCTGAAGGCTAGAACTGTAATCCTAACAGACTGTTCAGAATATGGATCACGTGACTCAGCTCTGACAGGGGAAGGGCTCTCTTTAATTACATCATATAATTTTTGAGGTCTATTTCCTAGGTAATTAGATCATTGCTGGGTTTCTTTTTAAGTTCTTTCTAAGTTTAAAAGAGGAGTTCCATCAGGGTCCAAATTTATCTTCCCTGCTGAAGATGGAAGGGCAAGGAAAACTAGGCTGTTTCAAATGAGCAGGCTCTAATTTGGCAAGATTACCTTAGATACACAGTTGGAAAACTTGGGATGTTTCTGCTTCATTGGAGGGAACAGAAAGTGTTGCTTATTTTACAAAGAAAAGGAGAGTAGCGGGAGAGAAAGGGAAGAACGAAAGAAGGAAAAAGAAAAGATGCTAACCCAGAGGGAAGAGGCTAAACTCTAATTAGTACCAACTCTGAGCTAGCACTCCCTGAGTGAGCCTGGCTTCCCATCACAAGCCCAGTGGTCAGTGTTTTCCCTTGTTAGACAATCCCATCCCTGTGGAGGAGCTTTCTTCTGATCCTTCCACATCCTACCCCATCAGGGATGGCAGAGGCAACTTCTGTCCTGGGGAGCTGATATTCATGTACACATTGCTCTTAAATGAATGCCTGCTACTCCCTCTTCACACCCGGCCCACAGGCCACTTTGCTTTGCAGGTGAAATTTCCACTATTCTCCCCAGTGGTCCTCAGGGCATTTCCTCCCACGTCAAGAGGGCCTTGATCAGCTGGCTGACTCCAATCTCATAAAAAACAAAACAAAACAAAACAAAACCTCCCATAATTTCTCACCTTCAAGAGGAGATGGAGGCAAAACCAGCCACCCAACCTTTCCCTACTTCTTATTTCTGGGAACATCTGTGGTGTAAAACTCAGGTAAATGGAAGGAAGCTTCACTGCGTCTCCTACCAGCTGGGGCGGTGGGCTTTCTGTACCTTGGAGAAGACTGCTCCTCAGAGCTACCCATTCTTGTGACTCACATCAGTTCCCAGTCCAGCTGAGCCTTGTCAATGTCCTCCATCAGCTTCATCAGCTTCTTCTTAAACTGATGCTCAAAACGCACATCATCCTCAATGACCAGGGTCTTCTCCAGCTCTCGGTCAATCACCTGTGAAGGCCACCAGTGGGGAGCGCCGAATGAAAACTTTGATACCCATTTTTATTTTTAAAAGCTCATAACTTGGATCCAAGATAATGTCCGTTGACAGCCGGTTGTATAGATGATTGTGCCATATTCATAGCAGTGAAACGATATGATTTACAACTACCTTAATGGTACAGTGGTAGCAACCTTGCAGGTTAAAATCTCTCAAACCCAATACTGAGAACTTGTATGCATTGTGTTGTTCAAAGACAGGTCATGCCATGCTGTCACATGTCAGGATGGAGGTTACCCTGGGGAAATAGTGACCACAAGGCTGTACAGAGGAGGCACCTCAGGGCATGCCTGCCACCTGTTTCTTGATCTCAGTATTGATTGACATAGTTATCTTACTTTATGTGTGCCATTTCCTTGACTGTATCTTATAATCTATGTACTTCTATATGTTTCTATAACATTTTATTTAAATCATAGAAAAAGAAAAGACCAGTCAAAACTGGACCATTAAAGGAGAGAAGGCACCAAGAGGTCCTTATTTAGTTTTTCGTTTCCTTTGTGTTCTTCTCCCTTCTTGTGTGAAGTGACTCTTGTTCATGCACTCTGAGCTCCAATGCCACCTCCAATAGTATCTTGATGTATAAGACATGGTGTCCAGTTACAGCTCTACCTCTTCCTACCTGAAAACATTAAGGCTTTCTGCCTGCTGTGTGTAGAATCCATCCTGCCTAACCTGGCCTCACATGCCTTCTGTGTGATTCCTGCATGAATTCATTTGATAAATAACATGATAGACATTCACAAAGCATTCCTGTTTATGGAGAAGGGGAACTTAGGAAAACAAAGTTCCTACAATGTGAAAACTGACACCTACCATTGTCCCACAGGGTGCTAAGGCCACCATCCTAGTGCCTTTGCTGCTGACCTTGGGCTGATGGGACACATAAAGCAAGAACAATTTTCAAGCATACTTCTGGGACAATCCTCTTGCATCTGACCCTAATTCACCTGGAAGGTTCCAGTCTCCCTTTCTCTCATTACCAGAGTGTTCCTCTAGAGAATATTTACCTCTTTCCAGACAGAGAAGTGACTAAGGAAGCAGCCAATTTCGCCCCTGGTTAAAGGCCTGGAGGAGTAGGGGTCCCGGTAACCTGGTAGCATTTCAATGTTCCAGGCCTTCAGCTGGCTTGTGTTGAGTGCCCTGAATGACAAAGAATATAAATGAAAATTATTAGGTCAATGTGTCCCCACTCCAGATCAGGGAGGGAAAGAAGGGGATAAGGGGAAAGAGAGAGAGAGACTGCATGTTTCCTTAGAGCTTCTCTATACATGGAGAAAGACTTCTCAGTTTCCTATAATTCTGTCGATGCCTGCCAGGATGTTGAATCACAATAGCATTATGAATGTAATGAAAGCAAAAAAAAAATGGCCTCTTTTATATATATACATCCCTCACAGTGCCAAACATCATTTCCCCCATATGTTTTCTAAAAACTTTGAAAAAGTACTCTCGTAAAGAAAAGAAATCAATATATAGGCACATTACATAAGAGCTGAAGACAGGAAGGAATGAGGGGATGCGCTGTGCACAGGTAACTGCCTTTTGGACCTTAAACTAAAGCAAGGCCAAAAATAAAAACTACACAGATAAATTTACCAAATGGTGGAGTGAAGTTCTCATGATCAAAACAGTGAGGCATTGGTGAAAATGGCCAATCAGCTTTCTAAAACTCTGGAAATCAACCAAGCTCTCACAATGCCCAATGAGAACAGTGGAGTCTCTAACACCACCTTCTGTTTGATAGGCTTCATGCTTACCCTCGTTGAATTCTTTTCTCCTGGCCCAACAGCATCCTTGAAAAACAGTCACCCCACAAAATCATGAGTAGTTGTGAAAACTGGGGTCGAGTAGCTACTGAAAGTGACAGGGTGGACGGGCACTCCCTGAGGACCTGCTTCAGGGACACCATCCTTATCCAAGTCAGCAGTCTTACAGAAATACATTATAGAACACAAAACAACACAGAACACACACACACACACACACACACACACACACACAGACACACATGCACACACACTATTGAATTACTAAAATCAAGAATGAAAGGGCAAGTATCCTATTGACATTATAGAAGTAAAAACAATTATACTATAAATGTTTGCCAAAATTAAAACAACATATTAAATGAACAAATTTATACAAAGGTAAAACTACTGAAATTACTTAAACTTAAGAAATTCTGAATAGGTCTAAAACAAGTAAAATGGGTTGAGTTAGAAATCTGAAATCTTCCACAAAGAAAAACCTAGAGCCAGAGTCAGATGTTTAAAGAAGAATTAATAAAAATTCCTAATAACCTTTGAGGAAGAAGGGAGGTGGTGGAGAGAGAGAGGAGGGAACCAATCCCAAAAGATTCTATGAAGCCAGTATTATCTGAAACGAAATAAAAAAAATTACAGGCCAATATTCCTATTAATATAGATGCAGAATTTAAAAGAAAACACTAGTAGATGGAATCTAGCAACAGAGGTGAGGAATTGTACAACAGGACTAGGTGAATTTGTTTTCCAGGATTACAACTGTAGTTTAACCTGTGAAGGTCTATGTTGATAGACAAGAAGCTATGTGGTCATCCCAATGGCAGATGCATTTGACCAACTTTCATGTTAAAAATTATAAGAAAACAGCAATAAAAGATCTACACTGTCAGCTCGATAAAACTGCACCTTGAGTAGAGTATTTAACAGAGAAAACCTAAATGTTTTCTCTCTGAGATTAGGAATAAGACAAAAATCTCAGCTCTCATCATATCCTTCGAATGTTGTGTTCAAGGCCACAGCCAGGCAGGGCTGTAAGGCAAGGCAAGGAAATAAGAGCTATCTAGACTGCAAAAGAGGAAGTACTGCTTCCTCCAATTGTAAATGACAAGATCTTGCCTACCGAAGAACCAAAGCAATGAGTGTACACACACAAACACACACACACACAAACGCACGCACGCACGCATGCACGTGAACACACCGCACAATTAGAATTGACAACTAAGGCTGCAGAATACATGATCAGTATAAAACAATCTATAGTGTCTTTATACATTTGGCAGTAAATACTAAAAACAGTAAGTTAAGGAAATAATCCTATTACCATTGCATCAACAAATGCCAAAGGATAAATTTAACAATGTAAACGAAAGACAAGCTAAAGGCAACAAGCCCTCATTCAAACAACTGACATATCTCTATTAAGTGAAGTGACTTGTTATGATTCTTGGCACTTCTTCAACTGACCTGTAGGTTCAGTGCAGCGCCTATCAACACCCAAGCTGGTGTGTGTGTGTGTGTGTGTAAATCTATGTGTAAACTGACAAGATAACAGTAAAGCTCACAGGACACCAGGCAAAATAAGTAACAACGGTCTAGGACTCATGTTTCCTTATACAGAAAGCTACTGCCATTAAGTCAACATGCTACTGCCATTAGGATAGGCCTATCTATGATTTAACTCAATGAAATTAAGAGGTCAGGGGCATTCTCTTACATTTATGGTCAACTGACTTCTGACAGAGGTTCCCCGAGTTCAGAGGGTAAAGTGTAATTTTCAAATAAGTGACGCGGAGAAAGCCAGATGACCATATGGAGATGAGAAGGGAATCCCTACCTTGTATCACACATAAAAACGCTTAGCTCAGCAGAGATCAAAGGCTTAAATGTAAGAGAGAAAACTGAGACAAACCTGTAAACCCCAGCACTCTGGAGGCTGAGGCAGGAGAATTACAAGTTCAAAGCTAGCTTTGGTTGTAGTCAGTTCCAGGTATGTGTGATTCTACTGTCATATCTCCAGGAAAAATGGTCACTGTGGTCACTCTAGTATCTAGAAGTCTCACACAGCAGGACACATAAACCTTTATCTATTTTTTGTTAGTTTGCTTTCTTCAGACCGGAACATGGTTTCAAACACATTCCCTCTACTACATGAGAGAAAGCTGGAAACCGCCACAACTCTGAGAATGGCCAGAGACTGGGCCATCACATCCAGTGGTGTGAGGCACAGAGGTCACTGGGTGGGGAGTGGGTCCTAGGCCCACTCTCCAGGCTGAAATATCACTGCTCCTGTGCGTATCTCTCTCACAGGTCTATCCTTCATGGAAAGAACCTCAGAGGTCCCTCCCTCCCTCCAGGACTCCCTCTCAGTCAGACAAGGCACCACCTTGCTCCAACCACACCTGCAAGAGGGCGGGCAGGGGACTGACTCACTTCCCATCCACGGCCTCGACGATCTTGACCTCAATCTCCTGTTCGTAGAGTGTGCGCAGCATCCTGTCCCGCCTGTCCTTCCTGCGTTTGAGGTTGATCATAAAAATCTAAAGCAGGATACAAAAGGGCAAAGGAACGCGAGTGACTCGGGGTTATTTTAGGCCGGTTGAAAAGCTTAGGAAAACAAGCTTAGGAAGACGGATGTGAGGACCAGAGGAGTAAGGAGTGGGAAGCTGTGGCACGGCTTTGTCTTCCTTATTGGGCCCATGAGTGGCGATGGGAGCAAATGCTATTTATTGGATGGAGCTGCTTTCTAAACGCAACCTTCAGCAATGGCCTAACCTGCTGTTCCCGGATAGTCACCGACGGACATGTTCTCTCTCGTCTTGAGAAAATAAAGTTCAAAAAATGATCACCCCAAAGGCCAAAGGTGAATTAAACTGCGCGCACACAGCTCTGAAGGGGAGAAGTGGTTTGCGAGTGGCTAAATCAAGTACATGGACTAAACGCATCCATGTACTTCAGGTTTAATACTGCCGCTTGCAGTCTAAGGCCTGCTGTTTCCTTGCCTCAGTCTCCTCATCCAGGAATAGGGTCCACTGTGGCTCTACTCCACAAGTACTATGCTCTGTATCGTCACAATTCACATCCACTAGGCAAGGTTACAGGTTTCAAAAGCTAAGAAGAATATGAGTCTTCAGACTTCCAGAATAAACATTAAGATCTCAATCTCAAAAGCATTTTTTTTTTTTTTTTGGCGAGGATTCTTCAGCTCCCTAAAAGGATAAAGACATTGAAGACAGGGGCCCATTTCCCTGGTTGTTACCCTTGAGAGAGGAGAGAGTAGTACAAAACATGATTTGGGTATGAGTATTTTTAGGGTGCTCAACAGAGGGCACCTGCTGACTTGTGAATAAGGAAGGATGTGCATTTAGGCTTTCTCAGTGAGGGCCAAGTCCGCTTGTACCCCTCACCTCGGCCTGAAATGCCTGGCTGTACTAATGACAGCAGTACTAATACATAGACATCCTAAAGCAACTAAAGCCTCATGAAGACTGTTGCTGAGAGTTACCATTGTCTGTCTGTCTGTCTGTCTGTCTGTCTGTCTGTCTGTCTCTATCTATCTATCTATCTATCTACCTACTACCTAGTGTATATAGTGTAACTGTGTGGTTGTGGGTCCCGGGAAGTTCAGAGGACAATTGGCAGCAAGTGTTTTTAGCCACCAAACTGTCTTACCAGTGCATAAGTTAGTATTTAAATAAGGGCTGCTGGCTGCAAGCACTGATGAACTGATTTTGAATATTAAACTATTGGTAGATGTTACCATCCAGAAGGAATCTATGTCCCAGTGAAGGAGAAACCTATAGGAACAGGGCAGAGGATACTCGTTGCCTCCTGACTGTCTGGGTGACTCTGGGGACAGCATTAAAGGCTTCTGTATAGTTAGCTCTGCTATCTAGAAAAGGAGAGGTTTGAGCAAACCCACCCCTCAAGCCCTCTACATAGGAAAATTTGCACATATTGGTTTATAATAAAGTTGACTTCATGTTATGAGACTCGTGAAGAAATCCTATTGTGTAATTAGGCTGAGGCCCAGAATATACTGCACTGAGCTTGGCTCAATGGTCACTCTGAATATCATTTTAAATGTATGCTTTAGCAGGAACAGAAGTTGCACTGAGATGTCAACTGCAAGATATTCTCGTCTCTGTTCACAAACAGAGTTCTAGGAGCAACAGAACGCTCTTTGCAACATCTCCGGAGATGCTGGGCATGGCAGGCACTCAGCAGGATTTGATAACCTCTTGGTTTACTTAACTGGATGGTTATTAATAAAACAAAAAAAATCCATCATAATTTCTGTGTGATGTATATTTGGGACTTTGTAGCTTAAAGCATGTGCTGTCTTCTTTTATGCTTCATTTTCTCTGTCTTTGAATCCTAACTGTCAAGGGCTATGTTCCATTGCCCAGTTTTACAGACATAGGAAGGAAACGGCACATCCTCCGTGCATCCACAGAGCCATCTGAGGTCACTCAAGGAGACAAAGCAAAACAAAACAAAATAAACAGAGAAGAATCCAAAAAGTCCCCTGCAAACCAGAGGCCTCCAGTCAAGGAAGCTTTTAGTAAATAATAGTCCCGTCCTGGGCCCTGCCAGGGCAAGGGCAATAAACTCAGTAGCCATGAAGAGAAAACATAGACGGCTCGCTCATACTTAGTAAACAGAGCAAAGAACCGAGTGCCAAATACAGCCAGACTCGAGCAACCAGGTCACAGGATTGGAGGGAGGAAAAGACCTCTGACACCTCTTTTCCACAGCCAATGTCTGCTGCAGACAGAGAGATGATTATCCTGGGCTGTGGAAAGCAGAGTCCAGGTCTGCCTCACTTTCTAGGGCAGGCCTAACTAACACCACGTTCTGCCTGTGGCGGAGCAAGGCGGTCGTGGTTTTGTTTCATTTGCTGTGATCTGGTCCTCACAGAAATGTGATGCAGGAGGAAAAAGGAAGACACTGAAAGACACTTGGGCTCTCTTTTTGAGAACATGAAGAGAGGCCAGAGTCTCTGGGAAGGAGAACTGCACTCAGTAAGAGGCGGCTGTGTGGGAGCCCCTCCACCCCACAGCAAGGACCCACCACCGTGGTTCTGGTCAACCCACCCTTGTAGCACCGGTCAGTTTTGAAAATTATTTCCTATTTTTAGTAAATAGGAATAGACTCACTAGGGTCTATTTATACTTTGCTACATTTAAATTCATCTCTCCCTTTTCTGCCTTCTGAGGAAATGGCACAATCACTATTTGATATTCATGAAATACCCATTTCCAACTTTTGGAAGTCTAGCTTCAAGACAGTTTTGTAGCAAGGATCCCAATTCCTAGTTCTGTTAGCTCCTTGGGATGAATATGATTTGGAGACACAGATGTTAATGTTCCAATGTGATAAGGCATTTTCTTCCAAAAAGCATACTGGGCTCAAAGCACAATGCTTGACTTAAATCCAGAACCCCTGGAAGAATTCTGTCTCAGTTTGTGGACTTCTGGCAGGTCATAGCTCCAGACCACAAAACTCCTCAGCACTGACCAGCAACCACATAAGGGGCCGTGAAGGGTGCATGGCACAGACTCACAAGTCTGGCCCTGGAGACCATCTGTTTTACACGCTACCAAGAAAAGCAACTCTTTACATTATTCCCCTTCCTTCCTTCCTTCCTTCCTTCCTTCCTTCCTTCCTTCCTTCCTTCCTTC